TTTTGTAACCAACTGATACACTTTCTACAGTATGTAAAAAAGAGAAGATTTTATGTGTTGTGTTTGTTTTGAAAATAAAAAAAAAAACTTTTTAAAAAAGATTAATGTGATTCACTCTTTCTGGAGCATCCTGTTTTGGATTCCAGTCATAGGGCATTCCCAGTCCTGCTGACACATCATTTAACTGATAAAATCAAGGATTCAACTTATGACTCCTAGCATGCAAAGCAAATGCTGTACCATTGCACTACAGGCAGACTAGAGAGAGCCATTGGACACACTTTCCATCTCTGCCCTTCTACAGCAGACTGCATGGTCTGCCTGTAGTGGCACTATCCCTTGTAGAATCTACAGTGGTAGCCTCGAAGACTTTGCCTTTCTAGTTTGCAAGATACCACAGCAGATATTTTTCCAGATTAAAGGACTCAAAGTAAGCCTTGATGCCACCTATCTCCATAAGCCTCAAGGGTTGGATCAAGCAGCAAAAAAGACCCAGATGTCCTAGACAGTATGAGGCTGCATGGAGGTTTCTGAAGTAGGATCTCCTTTCCAGGCTGTAACTGAGTTTTCCCCAGTAGCTTCTCCCTTCCAGGTTACCAGACGACTTTCTGCCTGGCTCGGATCTCCTGTCTTCCAACCACTGATGGTGCTCTCAGCAGTCGGCTCCCCTGCTTTCCAGGCCACAGGAGCAGGAATGATGCTTGCCTCGGCAGCAGGAGCAACCGTGGTGGCAACATTTGCTTTTTCCTTCCAGTCAGCTGGCGAGGAGGATGTGACAAGAGCCCCGGGAGCATCTGATGGGCCCCCTTTCCAGGCAGTGTGAGTGGTCATGTGACGCTCCAGCAGAGTACGGTGAGAGAAGTATTTGTTGCAGATGCAGCACTGGAAGCGTTCAGGGCGGTGGGTGCGCATGTGCACATTGAGGGAGCTCTTCTGGGTGAAGCGCTTGCAGCAGATGGAGCACTGGAAGGCACGCACGCCAGTGTGGGTCACCATGTGCTTGAGCAGATAGTCTCGCAGTGAGAAGGAACGCCAGCAAATGCTGCACTGATGGGGCTTCTCACCTAGAAAAGGAACAGCACAGAAGGTCAGTTGAGGGCCAAATTTTCATTTCTTAACAAAAAAAAGTTGCTCTCCAATGGAGGAGGGAGGGGAGAAACCAACTGGCACCCCAACTGTAATGATCCCAAAGCATCCCCAGATTATGGAGGGAGGCCTGTTAAACTTTTGTTTGCTTTGTCACATCTATTTTTCTTAATTTATGCCCCAGTGCAAAAGAAACACAAAAAAGACAGATTTGTTCTTTCCAAGAATTCTATTGAAATTACTGCATTACTCTTGGGAACTCAGAAAAACAAAGATTCTCCTCATAGCTATAAAGAGCTGCTTTGTCTGTTTTGCAAAGCAGAGATCCTTTCACTAAATAGAGTAACAAAGCAGGCATTGTAATTATCTCTAAGACAATGACTCACAATGTATACTGTACAGTATACAGGTTGTTCCTCTACCTATCATAATTCTGGAAGGCCCAGAATCTTGGATGTTGAATGAAGTAGTTATTAAGTGAAATGCCACATGACCACTTTGGTCAACTACTGCAATCCAGACTCTCCCAGTTGTAGTCATTAAACAGCCATTTGTGTTTTAAGTGGAGTGCTAAGAAGAGAGCTTGAGTCTCCTGGGCGCTGTGAGCTGGGAAGAGGGTTTGGGCCTCCCATCTCAGCTGGGAGGCTTGGAGAGAATGATCACAAATGTGATGGAAATTGCTAGCGTTTTTGCCATATTTGAGGTCCATTCTTCTAGCATGTCAGAGAATTTATCCTCCCTGTGTGGGGGAGAAAATACAACCATGCATAAAATCCTTTGGTGCACTGGGGGAACAGATCACTGTTAAAACGGCATGATGTTTTATAATGGCTAGAAATGTTTCCCCATTCTAAGGTTGTTGTGACTGCAAACGATCATTAAACAACTGGTCATTACATTGAGGACTGCCTGTATTGCCATCAGGTAACTTGGCTGTTAAATAGGTACTAAATGGACAAATTTTCTTGGCAAGTGGTTGCCATTGCTTGCTTCCTAGGGCTGAGAGAGACTGGTTCAGGGACACCCATGTCTAATAGGGTTCCTCATTCTTCACCTATTAGATCAAATGGGCCCTCTTTGTTTGAACCAACCATAGTGGCTTATCTTAAAATCAAAACTAAATCCATCAACAGTAGTCACCAAAAGTTTGCCTAAAGTTAGTTAAAAATTAAATTAAATTACTACATTTAGCTGAAGTGGTAAAAAGGAAAAAATCAATTTAGGAAAGGGTTTTTAGCCAAACATTGTGTTTTATTTGGGACACATTCACTTTTTGTTTTAACTGTACCCATTTCCCTTTTGCCCCATCCCTATGTGGTTTGTTAATATGTTCCACAAAACCATGTCTGATGGCTCTCAATTTATGGAATTTCTACACAAAATAACTAGTATTGTTCATTTGGTTCCCTGCGACCCAAGCATTTAAATCCCCAGTACCAGTTTTCCAGCAGGATGTCAGTGGAGGGGGAAAATTCAAAGCACTGGCAGGAAAAGACATTGCAGCAATTGCAAGAAACCAGATTTTTCTCACTCTGAAGCTTCTTGCATTTCCTCCTTTCACTCAACCTTTTTCCTTAAAATGTTTATTATCAAAACAGCCAATCCTACTGTCTTTCCATGATCATTTGTATTTCAACAGTAAGAAAAAGATTTGAGTCAGGTGTGACTTGGTCAATTTTAGTTTCTCATTTTTATTTCCTAACTTTCATCCATCTGCACATTATTATAGGCAGTCCTCAACTTACGACCACAATTGAACTCAAAATTTCTATTGCTAAGCAATATAATTGAGTTTTGAACAATTGTTAAGTGAGTAACAGGGACATTAAGTGAATCTAACTTCACCATTGACTTTTGTTGTCAGGTCGTAGGTCACATGACCCCAGGACATTGCAACCATTATAAATATATGCCAGTTGCCAAGTGCACAAATGTTGATCATGCAACAAGGATGCAACAATAATTGTAACTGAAAAATGGTCACTGAGTCATTTCTTTCAGTGCCATTATAACTTTGAATGGTCAGTAAAAGAATGGATCTAAGTCAAGGACTACCATATTTTTTGGAGTATAAGACGCACCAAGATTTTGAAGAGACAAATTAAAAAAAAAGTTTTTGGACTCTGTAGATCTCCCCAAAATGGCCAGTTTTTTGCAAAAATGGATAGTGGCTTATAATACACTTCGGGGGGGGGGGGGAGATGGCTCATTATTTGCTCATTTTTGCCCTCCCCCGCCCGCAGAAGCACCCTAGAAGCCTCCTAAAGGCCATTTTTGCAAAGGGGGCGGGGTTTTGGGAGGCCAAAAATGCTGTATTCAGTGTATATAAAATGCACCCAGATTTTCAGTCTCTTTTTTGAAGGAAAAAGGTGTGTCTTATGCTCCGAAAAATACGGTACCTGTATTAGTATGAGCATTTGGTTTTTTATAGTTATAGTTTATTGGTCTTGTATGCTGCCTACTCCCGAAGGACTCTGGGCGCCTTACAATAAAAAGGGGAAGGGGATAAATAGACAAAACAACAATTTAAAATACACAACATTCATAGTTACCGTGAGGCTGGATACTTCAACAGCCTCCCGGCCTGCCAGAGCAGCCAGGACTTAGTGGCTTTGCAGAAGGCTGGGAGAGTAGTAAGGGTCCGGATCTCCACGGGGAGCTCGTTCCAGAGGGTTGGAGCTGCAACAGAGAAGGCTCTCCCCCGGGGAGTCATCAGCCGACATTGGCTGGCAGATGGGATCCGGAGAAGGCCTAGTCTGTGCGATCTGATCGGTCTTTGGGAGGTAACTGGCAGGAGGCGGTCTCTCAGGTACCCAGGTCCGATGCCATGTAGGGCTTTATAAGTAACGACTAGCGCCTTGAAGTGAGTCCGGAGACTAATGGGTAGCCAGTGCAGCTCGCGGAGGATAGGTGTAACGTGGGTGTACCTGGGTGCACCCACAATCGCTCGCGCGGCTGCGTTCTGGACTAGCTGAAGTCTTCGAACACTCTTCAAGGGCAGCCCCATGTAGAGCGCGTTACAGTAATGTAATTAAAACATCTGTGGCCCTATTTGTATTTTTGTGTGCATTTTTCCTAGCTGCACTTATAACTTTTATTGGAAATCAGCAGGAAATGTTCTTTCTTTCTAGTGCAATGTTTCTCATCCTGAGTAACATTAAGATTTGTGGATTTTAATTCTCAGAAATCTCCAGCCAGCGTATGACTGCTGGTGAATTCTGGGAATTAAAGTCCACAAAAATTAGCTATCCAGATTGAGAACCATTGCTCTAGTCTGATCTCAGCTCCTTGTGTCTGCCTCCATTTACTATTCTCTCAAAATAGTAGGAAAATAGTGACCTTGTTCAACCACCAAACAGTGATATTTTCTGAGGCTCAGCCTTGTTCTTTCCCAGCACTGACAACCCATCTCCCTGGTTTACTGATTTCATTACCAGAGTGGATGAACATATGTTTGGTGTAGTTCTTCCGAGAGCTGAACGTTTTCTGGCAGTGGCTACATTGATAGGAAGGTTCCAAGCAGCGGGACGTTCCTGGCTGTTGGCTCTGCTGCTCTCCACCATGAAGAGCACTGGTAACCATTGTGTTGGGGCTGAGCTGGACCATATTGCTGGCACCTGAGTCCTGCTGTTGCTGCTGCTGCTGCTGCTGAATGCTGTAGAAGGTCTGGGCTACTCCACCAGGCTGGGGCAGGTGGAACTGGAAGATGCTGGTATTACTGGTGACGGTGCTGGTATTAGTGACTTCTGCCTTGAGCTCCCGCTGGATGCCTAGGGAGGAGACAAAGGTCAAGGCCTCAGGCCCACCACCGCTGCTTCGGGGTGGAAACCCAGAGGTGGAGCCACTTAGGTCTTGCTTGAATTCTCCTGTTAAGTTCCTCAGATTGGAAGCCTCTACGTTGCAATCAGGATGGAATTTATCTCTATCTCGAGAGGTGGAAACTGTAGCCTCTTCCCCACTTTCTTCTCCCTGCCAGGATGGGATGAAGGACTCGGAAAAGACATCCTGGTTTCCAAAGAAATCCTGACCTTCTGGGGTGGCATAATCCAAGTGAAGGCTCTCCTTCCGGTCGGGTCCACTGCTAACCCCAGAGTCCTTTGCCTGATCACTGAAGTCAGCAGCAAAGGGGCCACTCCCACTGCATTCAGCAAAGCAGCTCAGTTTGGCCTCTCTTTCTGCCTCCGACCCTTCTGGGCCTTCCCCACTGCCTTCCTCTTCGTCTTTGATGATCACTGGCATTGTCTCAGACAGCTGAAGCCTCACTGGCTGGCGCTGCTTGCGACTATGGCAACTGGGGGCAGATTCAGTGGAGTGCAGGTAGGAACCTCCTGCATCTCCTTCACTTATGGACCCCTCGCAGGCAGCTGTCCTAGCTTCTCTGTGCTGGGAGGACAGCAAGTCTCGCAATTTATAACGCACCTCTGAGGCACAAAGCAGCTTTGGGGGTTCAAGATGGGCAGCGTCAAGGTCACCTGGTCGCGAGAGGCTGCCAATGACCTCTTTGGGTTGTTGCTCCTGGGGCTTGCCGGGCAGAACTCTGGGAAGAGATAAGGGTACCGCTGGAGCAACAGTGGGGGGTTTCGGGCTGCGATTCTGAGAGATGATCTGGGTGCATTCGTCAATGACAGTCTTGATTTGCAAGATGGAAGCAGCAGTGAGGATCTGCAGAGCTTCAGACTGGGCTACGACCAGAGAGCCACTATACATAAACTCCACCAGCTGACGCACTACCTGACTGGGGACCACAGGGGGTACCTCAATCTCTGAATAGCCCAACAACAGTTTATCATGGAAAAAGGGGCTGCCAGCAGCCAGCACACACCGGTGAGCTCGCAGGGTGGCCTCCTGGATGTGCACTGTCACATCACAGAAATGACCACCTAGACGTTGCCCATTCAGGGTCTCCAGAAGAGACTTGCTGAAGTTCTGTAAATGAATGTAATGGACAGCTTCGGCCATTCTGTCTTGTATCCCACACTGGAATCTTTACAGCTCTAGAGCCTTCAAAATATACTCTGCATCATAAATAAGGATGCCAGGGAAGAGAATCTCTAATAGAAACCCTGCAACAACACTGGAGAGAAAGAAATGGTTAGAGATGCCTCAGAAACTAACATTAATTCGGCAATCATAAATCAAGGATAGGATGATAGCAATAGCATTTAGATTTATATACCACTTCACAATGCTTTACAGTCCTATATAAATGGTTTATAGAGCCAGCATCTTGTCCCCAACAATCTTCATTTTACCAACCTCGGACAATCAGAAAAGGGACAGTATAGACTGCAGTTGGATAGTGAGTGGGCAAGAGGTTCATAAGGGACCCTTCCTGTTTCACACACTGTAAAAGAGTCAAGGATGTGAAGAGGGAATTGTGTTAATATAGATTTACATTAAAATAGAATTAGCTTAGTTTGTGTTATCCATGTGGTAAGGCTGACATGGTAAAACAGGATCTTGTTCTGTAATTATGGGCACAGCTTAATGCCTGAGGCATTTTATCTGATCTTGAAAAGCTAAGCAATTAATATTTGGATGGCAGAAAAGTCCAGAATTATAGACTGGAATGAGAGATCGAAACAACATTCCAGAAGAACACAATATCAAGCAGCATTTGTATTTCTGCTTAGGCAAATGCATGAAGCCGCCAGTCATTATTTCACTCAAAAAAGACTTTATTAACAGAGATAAATAGCTCATTGGCTTGTTGGTCACACATCCCTCACTGAGATTCTACATGCGGGAATTTCCAATTTTTTTTTGGCGGGGGGAGGAATTGATTATTCAGTCTGCAATGCAAAGAGGAAGTCCCAGCTTCCAACTTTAGCATCTCTAAATAAAAGAGACCAGGCAAGGAATAATGATAACGTTGCCCAGACAGTCAAAAAATTCAAATTTGCTTTTTCCAATTCTAGTTTTGCTTTGATGGGAATTTGCTAGGTTGTTCTCTCATCAATGAGGCTTTGCAGAGAGAAAAGACAGAAAGGCATCAGACCTTGCCATAACCTTGAATATCAAGTGTGGTAGAAGGTTGTTTTCTTTTTTTGAAAACCTACTATTTCATTTTGTATGCAAATTTAATAAACACCCTATCATATGTAAATCTATACCCCAAAATGCACACAACAATAAAAATCTAAGAAGTTTGCATTCATGTACTGCAAGTATGGATGAAAAGTAGGGCAAATACTGCAAAATAGTTACAGTAAATAAATAATAAGTACAAACCTTCCTTCTCAAGCTTGCTATCTCCAGATGTATGAAGACAATGCAACTATAAGAAAACCTAGCAGTTGTATTTCCAACACATATTGAGGACATCCAGGCAAAACTGCAACATATAAAATCACAGTTTGTTTAAAAACACAGGCAACAAGACAATTATAGATAGAATTGTTACACAAATGTGAGAGAGTTAACTGAAATCTTATTGAGGTAAAACATTAACCTAACTAGAGGGGCTATTATGAGGTGATTTCAAGTCCAGTTAAAAATAGAGATGTCTTAAAAGTTAACCCCAGAAAAAAAAATTGTGGGTAACTACAGTGAAATGAAGAATACTTTCCCGCCTACTTAAAAAGAAACTGATACTCTGCCTAATCTTGTCTATAGAAAAAAAGAGAGACAGTCTGCCAGGAAAGTCACCAGGAATAACTCTGAAATGCTGGGTCTAATTAAAGTCCTGACTTACTTTTTTTATGCACAGAAAGTTTCTATCTCTGGAAGCTGTGTTTGGGCCTTACTATCCTGCTTCAGCATGTGTGTGTGTGTGTGTGTGTGTTTGTGCGCGCGCCAAGGGTGGGTTCCTGCTAGTTCTAACCTCTTCTAGAGAATAAGTTCCACAAATCTACCTTGCCGTTTAGAACTGATTCCAGCTCCATTCCCCCACCCATCCGTACCACGCTTGCCCCGCCTGCGGCACCCACTAATTAGGTGGCTCACCAATCGCCCCACCCGCCTCTAAGAGTCCTATCTAAACCTTAAAGTCTTAAAGCTGTCAGGTTTGAACACCCCTGGGGTTTTTTTTCTAAAGGGTTAGTGGTGTAAGGGTTTTGTAACTTGACAGCTATTGAGACTTGCGTGCTTCAAATGCCAGAGTTTCTGAGCCAACATTTTGGTTGCTAAGCAAGAGCGTTGTTAAGTGAGTTTCACCAAATTTTACAAGTTGGCCATACCTACCCACATGACTGCCAAGCCACTCCCACTCAGTCACATGGCCAGCAAGCCACTCCCACAAAGCAGGCCACACCTACAGAAGAGGTTCTAAAAAAATTGAAACCCACCACTGGTGTGTGTGTGTGGGCGCACGCGCGCGCGCACACACACACACACACACAAACAAATAAAAAATTGACATTGGCACAAAATGGTCCTGAATCTCAATGGGAGGAGTTATTGGATTTCCAGATTTGATTCATGACACAGTGGCTAAGACGCTGAGCTTGTTGATCAGAAAGGTCGGAGGTTCAAACCCCTAGTTGGCAAGGGGTTGGACTAGATGACCTCCAAGGTCCCTCCCAACTCAGTTACTGTTAAAATATGCTCTTCGCTGACTGAGAGCTAAGCGCCTTTTTCTCATGATTGCACGAGCTCCGAGTCTGAGCTCTGCCTCCGCATCCGCCTCAGGTCTCCAACCACAACCTCTGAAGCTCTGCCGCGCCTATGTCAAGGGAAGCCAGCCGTCCGGGGTCCCGATCCCTCAGTACCTGTACCTGGGAACAGAACCGGCATGGGCTTTGGGAATAAAGAGGCGTGGCGACGACCCAGTGGGCGGGGCTTATGCTGGAGGTGGAGCCCCGCACACCTACCTTCCCGGTCTGCAGCGCGGTCCATCCACTCCAACAGGCTTTCTACGGCGATCTCCTTCCGCGCAGTGTACGTCGCCGCCTTCCTGGCACTTCCGCACCGTGCCGTGTTAGCGGGGCGCGTATCCGTAGAGACAAAAAAGTGTAGAGTAGACTCCCTAATCTGAGAGTCTTCATTGTTGACTACAATTCCCAGCATCCATCGGTACACAACAGTTGGGATCTATGGCCGAAGAGAAAGGGAAGATAAAGCAGGCACCGCCTTAAGGCGGGGCTGCATAAAGCGCAGATTCCGCTTTTCTTTGTCAAGAAGGTCAGGAAAATGCAGGTAACGCAGCAGGCGCTTCCTTTTTCGCAAACGACTATAAGCCATTCCAGAAACTTTTGCCGCAATAATTCTTAATCGGAGGGAAATGTTAGCCCACACTGGCTTTGAAGGTACCTGCCTATGCTAGTCTTCCGGAATTTACCGCCCTCCAAATATATCGACTACTATTGCAATGATGAACTTGCCCCTGTTATTGGTGGGAATTGTAAATTAAAACCTGTGACGGGCATAATTTTATGGAAGGGTGCGAAAATAGACCGACCCTCTAGATGGGATTTCTTTTCCTGTCTCCGAGTTTGCTCAATTTTATCTCAAACTACAAACAGAATTGGGGGGGGGGGAGGTGTAATTAAAATTATTTAAATAACTTCCCCAAAAGCAGAGAGAGAGAGAAAACCGTTCCTTTCTTGAAACTATAAGAAACTCCTCTCCCTTCCCCAGATTAAAATATTCTTTAATCTTAATATTAAGAGAGGCAGGATTATTTCCCCAAAGGAAAAATGGAGAAACATCCTATTAAAGGCAGAAAGCAGCCCCAGTATTTTCTAATAGCATCAAGCAGAAGGCTCAAGTCTTTAGTGACTGATACTTTGTATCTATTAAGAAAGACTCTGATAATCTATCCGTAAACAAAATGCCCTGAACCACAGCTCTCTCTTAATCTGGGATTAAGAATTTGGGATTAATCTCATGGGATTAAGAATTTACATTTCCCCACCCAAATTCTAAAGACAGGACATGATCTACAGGACATAATAGGATTAACCCATTGAAATAGTAAAAGAAACAGGGCTCGCTACATTGTGCAACCCCCCTGGAGCATCTCAATCACAAAAACCCAGAAACCTATAAAGATCCATTCTCTCATTCAGCCATTTTGTCTGCCATCCCAGAAACATTGCTGCTATCACTGAAGTTTCTGAAAACCAAGTAAACCTTTCCTTGCAGTCAGTCTCCATTTTAATTCCAGCGCAATTCTCCCGTCTTGGAATGTAAGCGAACTTTTCTTCCCATAAAACAAATCTGTAAAGAAGGGGAAACCTATATTTTTTTTATTTCAAGCTACCAGATCAACTAAATAGAAAAATCCCAGCATTGTGTGCTCCGACATTAAATTGTGGAAAACTTAAGACCCAAGCATTGATATCTACCATAGTTATTTGAACCGATAGTATAGCTTGGTAATCAGGCCAAGAATGTATTTATTTATTTATAAATACAGCCTTAGTCTGATTTCCAAGATACACTATCGACCCAAATTCTTTTTATATGTTCAAACAGCAACCCTATCAAATAATTTAGATTGAGAAAGAGGGGAAAGCTATGTCAATCACCCCTGCATTATCTTTTGGCCAGATAGCTGGCTATTTATTGGAAACTGGTGTGGAGACGCCAATGTCACACAGCATCAAGAAAAAACAAAATTTTTATTTCCCTACAGAAATCTGAGTTTCATGCCCAAGGAGCACCCAAGAAGTCAGACACAATTATTTTTATACAATTCATTGCAGGAAACAAAAGTAAGAGAATTACTGATCGGTTTACATTTTTCACACAAAATAAAAGGTGGAAGCTGTCCCTTGGTAGTGAGGGTGGGAAAAGAGGACTGGGGGAATAGTTTGCTGCCCAATAATATCTGATTAAAATTTCAGATTTCAGGTTTCAGTCTTGTTTCATACAGGCAGCTTTAAATTTCTTTCCAAGTATCCAGAATTTTGATACTACAAGATACAATTTTATACCAAAAGGAAAACTATTTCAAACAAAAGGAAAATAAAACATTGGGAGGGAGGAAGAATAATTCTTTTAAATATTTTAAATGTTTTAAATATAAGAAAGAGAAACAAGAGATACAATATATTCCAAATTAAATAATACATTACGATGTACCCCTTTAAGAAGAAGGGAACTGGCAATTGGCACTATATATTTTTTGTTGTGTGTGCATATATGTGTATTTCTCAGAGAGATTTTTATTAATGCTATTCAGGTCAAATATCAGTGGTCTGGGGGACAGTTCTAAAGAAGTGGTTGAAGTATTAGACTACATTAACCTGAGTCCTAGTTCTGCCTTAGGCATGAAGCCAGTTGCCCGACCTTTGGCCAATCACTCCCTTTTACACAGACAAATCACCTTTGAAAAATGGATGGATAAGGTTAGTCAATTGTCCGGAGGGGGGTAGGGGAAGGCACACAGTAAAAAAAAAAATCATTGCAATTGAGTTTTAGGCACAAACATTTTCATAGTTCCCATCTCTTGATATTTTATGGGAATTTTTTATCCTGGCAAATAGTCCCAAAGAAAATAATACTTTGGGGGGGGGGGAATTGGAGTGCTGTGCATCTGATTTAAAGTTTTAAAAACTATTCCCATCTTTAAAAAAAATAATGTAAGCTATCTCTAGCTCTTATGGAGTCTATCTCTGTTGCCAAGATACTTGGAAACTGCAAAATATTTCAGCCTGGTAAATGTAGGCTTTTTTGTTTTGTTTTACCATACTGAATGTAAGATTTATTTATTTATTTATCACATTTATATCGCTGCTCACCTCACAAAAAGCAATCCTTTTGACATACAACAGTCTATAAAACATTAATTGTGTAAAACCAAAATATTAAAAATGAAAAGCACTATAAAAATGTAAAGTATATAAACCGCATGAGAAAGTAGAAAGAGATCAATCACAAAGGAACCATTTAAGAATGTTTCTGGTTTCTTGGGACCCCCCAGGCCTGGTGACACAACCAGACCTTAAGGGACTTCCAAAATAATAACAGGGTTGGGGCTAACCTGACTTTGGGAGAAGAATGTTACATAGGGAACCCCTACATTGTGGGACTCTCCAAAATGTCTGTCCCTGAGAGATAGTACAGATCTAATGGAGCAGGTTCATGTACCCTGGTCCCATGCCATGAAAGATTTGATTGGATCCAGAAATTGTTGGAAAAATAACCAGATCCTCCATTTCCAAATGAGGAATATTGGTTTCTAAGTTAAATAACTGCTAAATAACAACAAAACACAGCAAAATCTCAGAAAAAAACCACAAGAATATTAAAATATAAGTAGGTTAATATGGATAAACAAATACATACAGCGTTCAACTTGCTTTGTTTTTATAGGAGATATGGGCATAATACTACTTTGCCATACTTGGCAGTTAAAGCGAACCTTTCATTAAGTCAAAGTTGACTCTTGTATTTTTATTGGCTTGAAGAAGTCTGTTGTAATGCCAAACATTGCATGCTTAATCCTCATTTTGAGAAATCATGTTATATTGCTTAATCTTAATCTTGTCTCATCCCCAAGAACTAACAAGAGGCAACTTTAGGATTCTTATCTGTGCATGACCTTATGGTTTAAAGAGAGTCGAATGCTGTGATAAAAAAAAAAAAGAAATAACAGGTGTTTCAGAATCAAGAACTACCATTGCCAGATTACTTCAGACATGTTTACCTAATCCTCTTGAAAGCAAGGGGAAAGAAGAGTCACTTAGTTTTCTGTTATGTTCCATAAGTATATTATCCTAGAGCAGGGCTGTCAAACTCCCGGCCTATGGGCTGGATGCATCATGCGCTGGCCACACCCAGTTTAGTGAAGGGAAAAAAAGGTTCCAATATGTGATGATACCATGATGATTCAGTTTGATAACCCTGGTCCTACAGGTTAATTATAGGTTAATTAAAACAGCAGGTGATTCATAGATCCTATTGCCCACATGGTAAGTAAAGAGATGGTGCCAAAAGGTTTCTGATCAAAAACATGTGCAGGTTTTTCAAGTACTGAAGAAAATATCAAAATGCATGTATGAATAAAACAAGATACAACAATTAAGATGGATAAAGGCCATTGGTGTTGGCTCTTCCAATTCTGAGATGAGCAATTCAGATCAAAATCAGGAAAGAGTGATTTCACTTTTGAAAAGTTTTATCTTGATTATCAACAATTGTGCAAGCATAATAAATCTGTTTCAATACTTATCTGAATAAGATTAAAGGGGAATATAAATCAATGCACATGTTCGAATAATTTTACAGTCCACTTGGCTCATTTCCAAAGCCCCTTGCTATTGTAAGAATAACATGTTACCCTTTTTCAATACTAGAGCAAACATCTTCAGGTCATAAAATAGTGTGGAGGAAAACTGATTTGTATCAAAGAAAGAAGTGCATTGCCATTGTAAGGCTTTTACAAGTCTTCACTAATCTGGTTAGCCTTTACCCATCTAATATTAACTTGAGGTTAGCTATTTACTGTAGTTATTTGCCCTTCAAAATAGGCTAGGTAAGAAAGAGACCCTGGAAGAATTCCAAGAATGCTACTTTCATGTTCTTAGGTTCAATAGAGAATTTTGAAACCTGCCTATTTTTCTGTCTGTTCCATCTTACAGTAAAAAAGAATCCAGGCATGGTTATCTTGAGTTGTTTCAATCTCAGTCTCTCAATCAATTGTGTAATTGTTTCTCCGAGATCCTCCTAAATGGCTCTTTCATATATTTCTCATGGTCCAAAATACTTTACAATCCCACATACAAATGTATACTTTGCCCAAAATAGAGTCATAGCAGGGTCAAACATCTTCTGATGCTTTCAACCCACCAGAATCTTTTCTTCCCTCTGACATGCCATCATCTGGTTGCATTACTGGTGAGAACACCAGAAATATCTCCATGAGAAGAAGTGGGATTTCTTCTTTGCATGATAAATCATTAGAAGCTGGGTTCGTTTAAGGAAGCTATATAGTGGAAA